CGCCGGCAGCAGCGCTGGGGGGTTTAACCGGGCCTGCCAGGGACTTAAAAACTTAAAAAAAAACCCAAATCCACCTACACAGCAGCCTTTTCTCTGCCCCTGCTACCTATTTGATTAAAAAGTCTCTGTTGTGTTAACTGCAGATGATTTCACTGCAGAACATTCTGACATGCAAATGATAGCAATTAATGCCTTTGAAACAATTTATGATTTCCGGCCTACTTCAACATGTATTAGCATATACCTGGTTTCTTTAATATACACTTTGTTTTTCCAAAACCACAAACATAGTTGCTGGAATTTCATGTGGAAGTGCTTAAGGGGTTGAAAGTTAACACCTTTGTGAGCCGAGCAGTCTCACAGTTGCTGCTAAACAAAAGCCTCTTTGTAGAAGCTTTCTCGAAATGTTTTCTTAACATGTTCCAAGTAGTTTTAGGCAGGCAACTAAAGTAAACAAGATGTTACCATGATAAAAACACTTGTGAAAACATTACCGGAGTGCACTTAGTAGTTTCTTTCACATAAACTCCCCTTCGTTTCATCGAAGTTAAATGCACATGAACCAGATTAGGAGCATCGCTGCAATATAGGATTGCAACATCTCTCCAAAGGTTTGTGCCCCTCTTAAAGAACACATTTTAAAATGGTATAGCCATGATTAAGCATATCTAAACCACAATAATTTTTTTTCTTTTTAGAAAACAGGGTGTGTGGTATGTGGAATAAAACCCTACTCAGTCTTCTTCATTTTTTCCCCTGGATACCTTGGTGAATAAACCACCCTCCTCCCAGTCAGGATTTCCTGAACAACTCGCTGTATAAAGGGTAGAAATTTCTATCTGCAACAGTCTTTAAACACATGCAAATGAAATCAAGGATAGAGTCAGTTTTGAAGGAAAGTTGCTCTGTGCTACTAATTGCTGCTTGTGCTTGAGAGCCAGGGTGCAGTTAACACAGGAGACACGGGTGGGGGCCTCCTCCAGCCCTCACCTCGCTCCCCCCAGCTGGGCAGAGGGGCACCTGGGGTTGGTTTTAGGCTCAGGAAGCATTCTTGGAGCATGCAGGGTGCTCCTGTTTCACGAGGCAGAGCAGCAGCCCCTGCTATCAGTCAGCTCTAACTGATAGCGCATCACGTGGCACCCCAATGGCTGATGGATTAAAAAAAACCACAACACAAAACAACGCTAAAACTGCAACTTATTTCAAAAAGAAATAGGGAAATAAATGTGTACAATAGCCCGTGTATCTGCTGGTTCTGATAAGCATCCTCCTGTTGTCTGTGAGTGAAAGACAACTAGGATCGTTATTTGTACAGTATTTATCTTTGAAATCAAGGGCCCTGTGGTGTACCTCACCTTGGGAACAAACACTACAGAACGATCACAGAAGAGTGTCAAATCTCTGGTTTTGATTTACCAACAGTTATGATATTTCTTCCTCAGGAGGAAAAGAAATGAACCATGTTTTAGACCTGCGAGTCCTTTTTTCTCCCTTAACTGCAGAATCATTTTACTGGCATACAGGGCTTTCATTCGACGTGTAACTTCTCTTTGCTTTTTCTAATAGGCCCTTTTACCCAGGTAAGTGAAATTAAGCAATGCTCAATTGATACACCGGCTGTATTTCACTTGGTAAACAAGAGCTTTTCTCTTGAGGGGATTGTCGAAAGAGCTTCACGGATTATACAAGTACCAGAAAGAAACTTTGAAGCATCTACCTGTTATCTTTTCATTGAGTAATGAATTCTGATAAATGGCAATATAATTTAAGGACGGATGCTCCACAGGAGACTTGGAAGCCTACAGTATCGTTTTATGAAGCAATGCATACTTCCTAACAGTGCCAATACGCTGCTCGGGGACATTCATTTCTGCATTCGTTCTGGGTTAAATATCACTCAGAACAGTAAGACTCTGTCTGGACACTGAAGAATTTGGATAATGAGAAAATTTACACGAGCCGATGGTTTAAGAAAGTCACACAAAATATTACTGTTGAAAGGTTGCAGTGGAGGGAAAAAGAAAAAAGACTGATGGTAAGTGAGTGATAAAAGAACCAGAACTGTTGGAGCTGGGAGTAGATGGAGTCGCTCTGGGTCCAGCCAGGGCTGGTAATAGTTGTCAGGTTGTCTCTGCCTACTGCCTGCCCCAAGTATCTCCTCCAGGTGTACTGGTGGACCTGGTCTGCTTACTGAAACACCTACGAAATACCATATAAAGACCATCAACCTTGCCTCTACCCAGGCAGTGTGACTTAAGGGCTGTATTTTCTACGCATGGCCACGTCAAGCAGCCTACTGGTCTGTAAAGAATCTTCCTGAAACCAACAGGTCTAACCTGGAACAGGGGACTAGCACAGGAGGCATCATCTGACCTTAGATGACAACACACATCATTCTGCTACCTAGGGCTACCACAGCACCTTTCCCTTGCATGAAGAGCAACAAAACCCAGAACTGTTGTAAAGGTCTAAATGCTATAGGATGGCATATGAAAATGAATGAGTTGGCAAGTATGGTGAGATTAGCATTTATTTCACTTAAGTGAACAACAGGATGAATTACAAGGAATGAGGCCACCCTTCATGGAAACTTATGACTAGCACCTTCTTATTTGTAATCCTCCTGTAATGAAAACCTCATTACTGTACCATTCCTTACTTGTACTGTGTTTATAGTAGGACCAGTGCTGCTCCTACTGAACTCAGGAGGGTTTTGCCAGCGGAACCAGAACCGACCCATTCTGTTCTGAGACCAAAAATCTATCTGTGCCATCTAACACCACCCAACAAACATCCTCTGCTTGCTGTCACCCTTCCCTCCCTCACATAGAAATCCAGGGAACTGCCCCAGAAAGAGTAGGTACAGCTGAACGTTTTGGGACTGATTCTACTTATGTATTTTTGTGGACTAACTTCATGAGATCACCACTGTAAACGGGAGCAGAATTTGTCCCTTTGTGCATTTAAATCCTCAACACTGCTTGGGTGGTTGGTCTTTTGTAGTCTTACAACCACACAGCCATAGTACTTGAGAAAAGATCAGTGCCCAAACTTTGAACAGCCTGGAAGCACCCAAAGGATATGTGCATCTGGTGATCTACTCAGACAGAATACTCTTTTTGGGATGGGAACACATTTTTGCTCCAGCTTGGAGGGGTGAGGTGGCTGGTTTAGCTGTGGAGCAGCCACATGTAAGGTATCAGAGCTCTGCTGGTCCTTCCCCGCGTCGGGATGCACGCGCTACCACATCCTAGTCCATAATGCACTGTTTATGCAGCATGGAAAACTGTGTTCTTTGGCAGCAAGGAAAAGGTCTGCAGCAAACTGCAGGGGCCCAATTAATATAATTATAGTTTATTTTTAGTAGTGTAGACTTTGTTCATTAGTTACTTATTTGACATAAATTAAACTTCACGTGATGTTCTGCAATTCTCTGTTCAATTACAGAGTTAATTTAAGACTAAATTTCTAAATTAAAGTGAAATCAAGGTTAAAGGGAGGTTGCATTTTTTACATTATTGATACGGCAACTTAAAAATTATTTAAACAATAATAATAAAAAAAAAGGCTGCGGAACTGCAAATGCTCTGTTATAGTAATACACTAAGCAGGACCATACTCTCCCCATGGGGCTAATTTACTATCCCCTGTTAAAACGTTCTTGAGCCTGATCCAAAAGCCACTGAAGTGAAAGGGAGCTCTCTGTTGACTTCAATGGGCTTTGCATCAGGCCCACGGTGAGTGACAGCACACAAAATTTCAGGGCATGCTTTCTGTACAACGAGAGTGCCAAAAAAGCCATCCTTACTTTAGAAACGACTGGAAGTCTTCACATACTGCTTCACAGCCCGGCCATTTGCAGACGCCGTGTCCGTAGAGCGGGTGGCTGTGTGAGTGCTCCTCGTGGGATAAACTGGAGGAGAGAGAGGGAAAACAGAGAAAAAGTGGTGTAACTGAAGGTATCTGCCAATTCATCTTCACAAAGACTCTCGAGAGCAGCAAAACAACAGCTCCTGAAACATCCCCAACATCTCATGGTACCCACCTGACTCTGCCCATGGTTTTTCAAAACAGATTTAAATACCATTTGCAGCACGAAACATGTCATTTTTACTTAGCTATCCTCCTACATTTCATTCATTAATTAAAAGCTTTGTAAAGAATTTAAATTAACATGGACGGGGGAGAAATCATTTGACAGACCTGCTTAATATCCTGCTTGATATTTTGCTAAGAAATTTATGAACATTGCATATTTACAATTCAACTTCATCAGTGAGAAAAGTCATCTCCATGCAGCAGTGTATTCTTAGGACACAACACAACCAGACCTGAGGCTTTCCTCATCCCTACAGAAAGAGGAACAGCATTAAGTTTGCAGACGTGGCTTTCCCACCATGTTATTTATTTACTGGGTTGGGGTTTTTTTGTTTGTTTTTTTCTCTTACAGGCTGTTTCTCTGCACAAGTACAGCCCCCTTATGTCCCAGTAAAGAAGATTCAAGATGTATTTTCAAATGCAAAATTCACCATAAAAAAAAAAAGGAGCCAAGTAATCAAAGGATTCCTCGGCGCGAGGGGTTAGTAGAGGCTATTAGCCTTGCTAAGATTTGACAGGAACACCACAAGAGCTTTCTAACTCCTGAAACCAGGGTTAAAGAACAAAATTCTTATGAGCACGAAGGGGTTAATCCTCCAGCGGGACTCCAATCAATACGTAATGATTTGGCTGCACTGATCCAAGTCATGAGACGCTTTGATCCGGGCCATGTGGTGCTCAGGGAAATGTATCTGTTGCACTCACTGATGAACCATATTCTAGAATAGCTTCTTTATTCAACTTCTGTAAGGAAACTTCTTAAGGAAAGGAATTATTTTTGCAACCATTTCCATAACCTTAGATGACTTTAAAAATAGAATGTCAAAATAATATTGATATCTCTTATTTTATGCTCACTCATATATCTATTTTTCATAGCAAATCTTCTTGCTCCAGTCTGCCTGTGCCATATTATGAACTTCAAACATACACAAAGGATATGAACTCATACCAGCAGCTAGGTGTGGCTTTTATGACTTATTTTATCCTGCATTACAGGTAACATTATGGATAAATGCCTACTTTTTGCCATTTTACTTTTATACACGTGGGAATGCTCTTTATTCTTGCTCTGCAGTATTATCTGCCTGTGCACTGTGACAGAATTGTGTTCTTGTGTTATTTCTGATGCACTGGACAGCAAGATCACTACAGAACATACCCTGGAGATGTCACCTAAATGCAAAGAAGCTGCAAGATAAATTCTTGTCTGGGTTCTGCCACTCTTGACATTAGGCCCAATGAGAATCTGAAGATAATTGAAGATGGGTTTTTTAATATATATTTTTAAATTCAAAAATGTACAGATATGACTGCAAAATGTATTACCAGTTGTACATGAATCATTAATTCAATATTTCATGAAAATATCATTTTTGGCTGTTTATTTATTTTTTATTATTTACAAATAGTTCTTCAAGCATATATATGTATGTATCTGTGCAAGGTAATTTCCTAAAATTAAAACTGTAGGTGAAAAAGGCCTTTGCTATAAAGGAATATTACACTGGTTTAATTTGATTTTTTTTTTAAATGTGCAAGCAGGGAGAAGCTCTATCGGTTCAAGTTTTTAAAAGAACAAAGGGATCAATGCATTCCTTGCAAGGAAATTAGAAAAATGCTACACCACACGTTTCCTCAGCTGAGAAAGAGGGAGGGTGGCTGAAGGAGCCCTGTCCAGCCGAGCCAGGCAGACATATGGTGAAACACCCTCCATACACCTCAGAAGAGTTCAGAAAATAATGGGGTTTATCATCTGCTTCCATACCTGAGCACAGCAAAGGGTGAGGGAGCAGGCTTTCATGTTAACACTCCCTTAAAGTCCACGAAAACTATTTAACAGAGCTATGATTTCAGTGCATTTGGCAGAACCCAAAAAATTTCAGTGTGTTGATTTATCTAGTGCACGTTACCCATAACTGGGATGGCTGCAGCAACGCCATGATGCCAAGTAAGGAGTCAGTCCCCTGGGGGTTTTAGGCACTGTAAATCACATTATAATATCAACAGGAGTCACATGGCTTAAACCCCCAGCAGGGCTTTTTAAAGTGCCTCTGTGAGAGCCTAAAGGCCATGGCCAAGTCAACGGAAAGAGCCCTACTGAGATTCGTATTTATTTTTTAAATCCAAGTGCAAGTCTGTTTTCTTTCCAGGAACTTGCAGAAGACAAGACAAACTATGTAGGACATGATACCCTGGACACAATACCAAAAAAAACGATGGGATGAGCAAGGGAGTATCAAACTGTAAACGGTGCTCAGGGTGTCAAAGTCTAGCGCTGTCAATAACCAGAACAATTGGTGTTGACTGTAAATGATAACTTAAAAGGTCATTGTGGCTACGGGTGACATACTTCACACTTAGCTTCCACCGCCACGGGACAATGCAGCACAACTGCTTCAACTCACCAAAAATACACACTTCAAAAAGAACAACTCCTCAGTACTGTCAGACAAAGGTGAGCACCCGCCGCAGGCAGCGTGCCCTTCCAGAGGCAGCTACTCCCACCCCGCCCAGGGGGTTTCAGCCCTGCCTTGCAGTGACCTCTGCCTGTCCCTATCCAATTACTGCCATGTTATCCATCCCACTTTTGAAGATCTTATAGATTGCCACTTGTTCCCTGACAGAGCCTTAAGAAGCACCTCAGAACAAAACAAAGAGCAGGTTCCTACAGAAGCGGATGTAACGCACGAAGGATATGGCCAGTGGAAATGAATGGAGAACTCTCTCCAGCTGATCCAAGAACTAACTGTTTGAGCAAACAGAGGTGGAAAACGAAGATTTGAATCCAGTACATAAACAAACAGCCTTTTGGGCACAATGCAAACCTAAGATCTTAAATTGTTCCATGATATTTTGTCGACACGTAAGCACAGTTTCTGTAAGCTGGATGCATCCTTGGGCTCACTGCTGGAGACAGACTTTCAGAAGATCAGAGCATTGGCAAGCAGAAGCAAGTTTTAGGTCTGTTTGATTTCTAATGACACATTAGAGTAGGTGTTTGTTTCTGTCACCCTCTCCTTCCTAGGAACGCATATTTGTGGTTGGGTACTGGTGATGCAACGCTAGTTAGCAGAAGTGATTTTATAACAAGACTAATTTTCAGAGAAGTGAAGGAATAAATGATGTAAAAATCAAATTATGTGGGCTTTTTTTTTTTTTTCTCCTCATGGGATATTTGCACACAAAATACTTAATGCAATGGAATTATTTCCAAATAATGCAATAGTGCAGCATTGTTACATTGAAGAACAGCAGATAACCCTCTGGCAAGTAAAATTTTGCGTAAATCATCTTATTCATGACATACGGCAGAGTAACAAAATCCATGTGGGAGGCTGAAAACTGCGTAAGCATCCACTTACTCTCTGCTGCCTCCAGCCCCAGTTCCAGTAAGGAGGGGAGGGGAGAAGGGCCATGAACTTCCAGAGCTCCTCCATGCTTGCTAGAGAGAGGAGTTTTTACTTCCCCCTTCTTCACTCTATGACGCTTTGTACTCCCACGGACCCTCCAGAGAGTCTGGAAGCAAATTCGGCACCTACTCTAAACAGAGATGTCTCTCAAAGCTGGTACTTGCACAGCCCACATCACCTGGACCACTTCAGCCATTTAACTTTTGCCATACATCTCCTGTACAACAGCATCACTGAAGAATCACGCTCTGGGACACAAAACCATAGGAGAAAGAGAAACCACAGGCTGCTAAACGCCCATGGAGAGTAAAAATGACACCTGGAAGTGAGATGGGAACACACTGGGTACTGGGGAAAGTAGTGACCAAAGCATGGGCACAAAAGCTACCTGTGCTGTATGGTTTAACTTGACCCATGCTTACTAACCACGTGGAACTGGTTACCAAGCTGGTACACCCTGGCAAGGAAGTCACTGGGCAAATACAAAAACCAGCTAAGCAAAAGCCTCAGGAGTTGTACTTCTGCCACACAGTGGACCATACTCTAAATATTCATGATGCTGACATGCTTCATATTCCACTTTCTCTCTTCCACATCTGCTTGAGCCAACAATCTTTGCCAAAACACTGGGGGAAGTCAGTGATGCAGAGCAGCATCCGTGATTTTCTGTTACAGTTCTGAAGCATCTGCTCACGTTCTAACAGTGCAGGGAACATGCCCGAGCCACCTGCACACTGAAAAATCAATACCACGTCTCCTGTGCTCCTCCTGGAAGGGGTCTGAGCAGAGCACTCACAGAAAAGGCAGAATTGCCTTTTCTTCCTACATTTTCTTTTCTTTTTCAGGGCCAATGGGAAGTGACCTCATCTTTGCCAGCTGCCATGAAATCAGTGTCAGCGTATGGTCCAGGCAGGAGCACTGGGCTCAGTCTCACACCACATTCCTCCTCGACCTGATGTGGATGGCACAGCTAGTGAGGCAAAATGCCACGATTTTGGTCCTGTACAGGAGGAAGAGACACACAACTGGGAACCAACCCGGGTCTCCTGGACTTTATAGCCTGCTGAGCTATAAAGTTCATCAAAAGGCACTGACAGCTTAAAGTTGATGAAAATGTCACAATTTTCCGAGTCAGAAACACCCACTGTATTTGGTTTAGAACAAAAACAGAAGCAGTAATGCTTAAATCCATGTACCAACTGTACTCAAATGTAAGTTCCTGCCTTTGTGGCAAAATCAGTTGAATAAACATGTTTTGCTGTGAAGTTGCACTGGTGTAAATACCTCTGAATTCTTACCAAAGGTGGCTTAGCAACTCTTTCCTTTCTAAACTGTGAATTAAATATATTTAAAAAAAAATCAACTGAAATATTAACCCATTTATTGAAAAGGATTACTTGTA